TTAGCCTGCTTCAGCCTCAGCCTCAGTCTGCCTTCAGCCTCGGCCTCAGCCTCAGCCTGCATCAGCCTCAGCCTCAGCCTCAGCCTCAGCCTGCCTAGCATCAGCCTGCTTCAGCCTCAGCCTCAGCCTGCCTCAGCCTCAGCCTCAGTCTGCTTCAGCCTCAGCCTCAGTCTGCCTTCAGCCTCGGCCTCAGCCTCAGCCTGCCTCAGCCTCAGCCTGCCTCGGCCGCAGCATCAGCCTGCCTCAGCATTCAAAATGTGGCCCAGGAATGGAGTTCTGGGAACTAGAAGAACACGAAGTGGCCTACAGTTGGCTCCGGGCATTCAAAATCATGCCCAGGAATGGAGTTCTGGGAACTTGAAGAGCACGAAGTGGCCTACAGTTGGCTCCGGGCATCCAAAATGTGGCCCGGGAATGGAGTTCTGGGAAATCGAAGAGCACGAAGTGGCCTACAGTTGGCTCCGGGCATCCAAAATGTGGCCCGGGAATGGAGTTCTGGGAAGTCGAAGAGCACGAAGTGGCCTACAGTTGGCTCCGGGCATCCAAAATGTGGCCCGGGAATGGAGTTCTGGGAGCACCAAGAGCGATTTTGCGAGGATGTCCAAAGCGATTTCGGGTTCGGCGGCAAATCCCCGGGTCCCGCCCAGACCCTCCTGAGGAGTCATGATGCTCTTTTTTGAGACCAGTAGAAACCTATCAGCAAGAGCTGTTAGGTAATCAACCTCTCACTCGCCGTCCTGAGGCCGGAAGGTTTGCGCCGCAGCCTCGTCGGACACGTTGCTGGGCGTGGCTCGGATGTGTCTGCCTGCGGAGCTGTTTGGGCCTGCAGTTCGCTCTGCCGTTGACCTGGGAATCGATCTCTCGGCTGGTAAGGCCAAAGGATCCAGGTCAAGCGCTCGGAGACTACGGTGGGCCAAAGCTCCGATCGATCAAGCTGGGCACAGGCACCGGCAAGGGCGAGAGCATCGAGCGACGTATCTTCCGAGCGCCTGTCCAGGCAGGTCCTGCTTTCGGAGGCAAGGCTCATGGGTGCTCACCTCGTAAGATACTGCGGCTGCGCCAGCATGCTCGAAGTCTGCCTGGACACCCTGCCGCGGGTGCCAACGTTGATCCATGGTGGGCGCTCGCTTCAGATCCGCGCCGCATGGATCTGGGCGCAAGTCCTTCGACTCGGCACCCCATGGAATGGTGGGCGCGGTCGGGCACCTCGCCCCTGCAGCTCAGACATGCCGACAACTTGTCAGCGAAGGAACTTCGCAATGTTTTTTCGTGGAAGCGCGCGGACACCACGGGGGCGCCACCAAAAAGTTCTGGCTGGGTAGATCCCGAGGGCCTCTCACCGAAAAGCTGCAGTGGGCGGGGCTGGCGGTGTGGGCGCTTCGTGATGCCGCCCGTCTTGTGACCCCTTAAGGGGCAGGTTTACTCCCTGATGCAGCTTCCCCTCGCTGGCTCCGCCCACTCTTTCATGGGGGCGTGCGATCGCGCGGCGTGCTGGCGACGATTGCATTCAGGCTTGGTGCTGGCCCCCACTCTTCTGGGCAGGAGCTGCTCACTCAGGTTTTGTGGAGGATCCAGACCTCGTCGAGCGCTGAAGCAAGTCGGTGAGAAGCTGATCAATCGAGAGATGACACAATTGCATGGTCTCCTAGGGGGCTGCCTTAGTCAGAGCCAACTTGTTGGCTAATCGGGGACATGATGTTCCCGCGCTGTGCTCCCGTTGCAATAACGGCTCCATAGACACTCCCTTTTCTCGTCTGTGGGAATGCCCACACTGCGCGCCCCTGCGAGACCAGTGTGTTGCGGAAATGTGTTGAGCGCGCGATTGCAGCAGGTCCCGTTCGCCCACTTTTCGCGCATCTGTGGTTGGCGACCCCTGATGTCCTTGTGACAAGCTCGACTTTGACCCCAGCAGACCCACCTTTGCAGATGGCTCGTGCTGCAACCCGGGGCTCGATTTGCTGGAGCGGGGGGGCCTGGCAGCGTGCCAGATAGACGATGACGGCAATCGTCTGCGTGCTGTTCCGTCCCCTCAGCCCCCGCGTGCTGCCTCCGCAAGTTGTCCATTGTGACACTCTGGACCTTTGTGGGCCCCGGAAACGGCAGGGCCGTTTTTTCACCGTTTCCATAAACATGTCCCTTGAAAATGGAAACGGCAAAAAAACGGCGACCGGAAACGGCAAAAAAACGGCTCCAGGATTGGAACCGGAGCCGGAACCGGTCAAAAAACGGCGACGGAACCGGTAAAACAACGGCGTCAGAACTGGCAAAAAAAAACGGCAAAACGGAACCGGTAAAAAAACGGCCCTGTCGTTTCCATGGCCCACTAAGCTCTGGACTTGCACTGGCAGGGCTCCACTCCAGTCTTGAGCAGTCTCCAGGGCTTGCGGTGGACTGCAGAGCGATGTCCCGAATCGCTTCGCAGCTGACCCTTCGCCTTCAGGGTACCGCCCTCTTTAGTCATTATTGGAGGGCGCTGGCGCAGGCCAAACCAGGGCAATGACTGTCGCTCCCTCGTGTTAAAGCTCACCAGAATGTTGAGGATGCGGTCAGCGAGTCTGACCCGTATACTATCCTAAGCCATCGGCTGGCGGTCACTCTAGCAAAGGAGGCCGCTGTGAAGCACGACGTTGACCTTGCCTTAGAAGAGTATGTGTAGCTCGTGACAGGCCCAGGAAGTATTCTGGTCAGCTGGCCCCCCCACGCGTGAGTTTTTCGGTCCCGTGTCCAAGGTTTCCCGCCCCCGTTGCTCCCGCCCGTTTGTCTCCTCCCACTCCCCTACTTGGACAGGCAGCAAGCCCCGTTGTACCACCCTTGGTTCTGTGTGTTTTGTGTATATATACACACAGACTACCGTTTTGCATTTTGGGTTCTTGACAATCTCGCAATGCAAAACACGACGTTTCGCTTTAGCGTGTTAAGATCAATTGTTTTACAGGTTGTTGGGCCCGTCGCTATGGACCATTTTTCTGTTCAACATGTTTTGCTGTCTGGTTCAGGGCTGTACCTTGTCTTCCCTGTTGTCTTCACTCTCATTTTTCGTTTCTGCCGCCGTTCTCCCTCGCAGAGCTAGCAGCGCAAAACACGCGCTCACATTTGTCAAACACCTGCCCGAAGCAGGCCCCGAGGCCCGATGGCCCCAAGAGGGGCAATCGGCCATCGGGCCGGGAGGGCCCGATACCCCAGGAGGGGCTCCGAAGACGGCGAGCAGACGGACTGAGAGAGCCGGAGGGTTGAGGAACGCAGGCCATGAGAAGAAAATGAGGACGTCGTAGACGGCACTGTTACACAATGCAATGCAGTCAACTGATCTGAAGACGCTCAATAATGTTTCCAGACAAGCAAAGAATTAATCGTGGTGTTGGCATGTTTCGTTCTCTTGCTGGGGCCCACAAAACGCGGAACTGATTTCTAACACACCGAGTGAAAAAGAAAAAACGGTAAGAACATCGCAGAACCAAGGTACCTCCTGTTAGAAGAGGATCGCCCCTCAATGCAGGAGGCCCTGCTCTCAAGAGTGCCCTCCCTCCCTCACAGAGGCAATTAACAAGCGGCGAGCCCTTCACCATTCCCTTAGTATGGGGTGGACTGATGGGAGCAGCACGCCCATTATGTGTTGTGTTCTCTGTGGTGGCTACAGCACGGGGAGGGGCACTCAATTCCTGAAACCCCGCCTCTCGTAACAGGATCGATGGAGGCAGCAGGCAAGAGATGGCCCCCTAGCAGGGTCGAGTGCCCCAACCCCGCGTCAGCAGCGGGGATTCGTACGCTCCAGCGCGCATGTGTGCCGGGGACCACCCGCACCTTCTCGAGCGTCGCGTTTCTCACTCAGACTTCTTGACCGCCGCTTCGTTGCCCAGCCCCTGAGGGAGATGGGGTCGAGGGGGTGGAGATGGATGATGCCGAGACCTCGCCTGCTTGGCGGGGCTGCTTCGGGTGAGCCCCCCGAGAATGATCATTTCGTGGGATGCCAGTCCGTCGATTGAAACCCCTGGAGGGCTCATCCAGCTATTCTGGTTTATGCTAGCCCGTCGGTTTTGAACCCTTCAAATGGCCCTCTCATGGAGGCGAGGTTGATGTCGTGCCCACCCCATTGATAGTGTGGAGCAGGTGCAGGGAGGACGAGGAGGGGAGGGACGTGCCGAAAACCACCCTCCCCTTCTCCAGAGTCACGCGCCTGGGGTGACTCGTAACGGTCTGGACGTCCTGACCGTTACTCCCGCATTGCAATCACTGACAGGGACTCCTCCCTGCCTGGAAGGCGTGGATGATGTGGACCCAGACCCCTTGAAACTGGTCAGGCGTGAGGGTTCGTCTTCGCGGTCCAAATTTTCGGGGCTGGGCCATCTGTTTTTCAGGCGCGCGTTTGCTGTGCTTGCACGGCCGCGCTAAATAGTGTTACATGTGTTACCAATGATCGAGGGGAGGAGAAGGAGGAGGAGGAGGAGGAGAACGAGGAGGAAGAGGAGGAGGAGGAGAAGGAGCAGGAGGAGGAAAATAACCGAGGAGGAGGATCAGGAGGTGGATCGAGGAAGAGGAAGAGGATCGATGATCGGAGCAGCGAGAGTTGAGACACCGGCAGCTCAAATCGGTCCCTGGAACCCTCCCGGGGTCCAAACGCACCAGTTTCCCGAGCTGCGTCCAGCCGCAGCGACGAGGGGCGCCACCTCGGGCTCAGATACCGCTGCCTCCTCTCGCCCTCCTCTGACTCTGACTCCGACTCTGACTGGTGGCGAGGCCCGCACGCGGGGGGGCCAAGTCCTCCAAGCAGAACACGACGACGACGCGACGACGGTACGACAGAAAGGCACCGGTCTCCACGATCCGGCGCCGATCGAACCAGAATAGCGGAAGAGACCGGGATCGCCGGTCGCTCCAGCCGAGCCCTGACCGAGCGGCTCGCTCGGCTTCGTAAGCGAACCGTCGGGCGACGAACTCCGAGCGGCCAGGATCAGGAGAGGAAGAGCGGGCACACTTGACCTCGTCTCCAGGAGGGCCCCGGCCTCGCAGGGGGCCGCTCTCTCCGCCCAGCGACGCGCCCGCGGCCACCAGCGCCACGCTCAGCAGTACCCCCGAGCACAGCCCTGCGCAGAAGGTCCGCCCGGAGCACCCACCCGCGGCGCCGCCTGGCGCGCCTGCGGCCCATGCCGGGCGAGGGGAAGGACGAGGAACGAGAGGAGGAACGACAGGAGGAAAGCGAGGGGAGGAAGGAGGAACGAAAGGAGGAGGGAGGGGAGGAACGAAAGGAGGAGGGGGAGGGGAGGAGCGAAAGGAGGATGAACGAGGGGGGGGAGGAGGAGGCGGTCACTGCACGAGGGAAGCAAGAGTCCCGAGCATGCCGCCGCGAACCGCGCAGCGCGCGTTTCCGAAAGAGGTCGCGCGGGCCCACGCTCCATAACTATAGGCGGGCGTTTGCTCTCTCGGCGGGCCCTGTGCGCGCCCCGCCAGACGACGGAACGGCGGGCACCGGGCGCCGAGGGACCCGCCGCGAAGTCTGTTGGCGCCCCCCAAGGGGGGGCAAGGGGGGGGCAGGGGAAGGGGGAGAGAGGAGGGGGCGGAAAGCCCTCAAGAAGGACCCAGAGCCTTACCTCGCAGCGCGGCGCGATCGAGAAACAGGGTTGCCTCCAGAGGGGAGGTCACCAGCCTGATGGCCGCGCGCGTCTCCTGGTGGAGAAGGCGATGCAGGTGGAACATCAGCGCCACACCTCGAGCCGAGTCCAGCGGTGGGCCGACGAGGGCGAGGGCGACAAGGGGGGCGTCGGGAAGTGGGCGGCCAAAAGGCCAACCGCAGCAGCTCGCGAGATGGCGGATCGCACTCCAAGCAGCACCGACGGTCTGTGGGAAAAAACACACACCCTGTGGGGGAAAAACGCACAAAACACACAGCGTGTGTTTTTTTCCCACTGTGTGTGTGTTTTTCCCACAATGTGTGTGTGTGTGTGTGTGTGTGTGTGTTTTCCCACAGTGTGTGTTTTTTCCCACAGATTCTGGAGACGAGCATCTGCAGCCCGGCCCCCGAGCCGGGCCTTGAGGCCCGCGCGGCGCCCGGCTCGGGGGGGGGGGGCCCCACACGGGAGCCGAGGCCGGCGGAGGGCGTCGGCAGGCCCGGAGGAGGCCCGAGGCCCGGGCAAAGCGGACGCGCCTCCGCCGCCGCCGCCCCGCGGGGGGGGGCGACGGCCGCGTGCCCGTCGCTTGCTCGGGCGCTCCCGGCGGGGCCGTCGCCATTCACGGGAGGCGGATGCGTCCCGGAGGTGGCCGGGAGGTGCGAGCTGTCGGCGGCGAGCGAGGGGGGGGAGGTGGGAAGGGGCGGGCCTTCTCGGAAGGCTCGAGAGGCCCCAGGCTTTCTGGGAAGTGTCCTGCGCCTCCCCCGGAGACGCGGAGGACTGCTCGGGAGGCCCAAGGGCTTCTGAGAGGCCCCGCCGCCTTCTGAGAAGACCCTCTCCTTCTCACTTCCCCCCCTCGCTCGCCGCCGAAGAAACTCGGTCAAGGCGGGGGGGTAGCGACAAATCCGTTCAAACTCGGTCCTTGGACCTCTCACGGGGTCCGTCTGGTGTAATCTTTTCACCACGGGTTCGTTTTTGGCGGACCTGGGGCCCGAAAACGCCTGGGGCGCGATCCCGCGGATACGCGGTCGCACGGATGCGTTCCGCGCGGGGCATCCGTGCACAAAAACCGTATGCGCGGGGCTGCGGCCCGGGAGCCCGGCCCGCGAGGCTAGTGGTACGGATACGTTTTCGCCCACGACCCCAAGAGCCCAAGCCAAGGAACAATGCGCGACCATCGAACACCGTCCTTCTCGTCCGACGTCGCAGTTGTTTCGTGACGTGGGCCCCCGGGGATCTAGACCCATTCTCCGAGGCCCACCTTTTCACTCCGAATCATCTCCTGTCGGCCCTGAAGTTGAGAAACGGCAGCAGGAGGCCGAACATGTCCCAACGCCGGCCACCGTGATTCCTTTTACGTCGCCTGTATGCGGAGCTCCAGGTGCTTTTTCTCGGGGGTGGACAAAATCCCCTTTAGCAAAACGTGGTTTAGTGAAAACGACGTCGGGCCCAAACCTGGCGGGCGCAAGCCTGGAAAATGACGGCCGCGGCACCCTCTCGAGAACCGAAAACGGACAATTCACTAATCGATCGACGTGTCAGGGTGGGGGTTCTGTCCACCCCCCGATTTTCGGGCCATCTAATTCGGGCCTCCGGCAGCCGCTCACAGCGATCCAGGCACCCGCAAAGACGCCCTCGGCGAGGTGCGGCTGCTCGAAAGCATCCCAAAGCTGTCATCATCGCGGCCCGAAGGCTCCCGACCCCTTGCCCGGGGGTAGTGCTCTGGATAGTTAAAAGCCTCAGTCCCCCAATGACAATGCGGTTAGACAGATCCTCAGCCCCAGTCTCGCAAAATCGCGAGTCGTCGGGGGCTCCCTTCTTGTATACAAGAAGAATCCACACCGACTGCGGTATGCGTAGCAGCGGCAGCAGCAGGAGCGTGCAGCAGCATCTTGTCATCCAAATGTTTGCCCCTCTTGCGAGCAGAATCTTTTTCATGCCAGGCGTCGTGGCGACACGGAGGTCTTTGTTGAGTTTGACTGAAGCGAACTGTACCCGTTATGGCTCAACGAAGAGGGTAACGTCATGGCAACACGACTGCGCCAACAAACGCCCCGACCTACCCATGCAAACGATCATCTGAGGCGGGAGATACCCGTCTTGTCAAACGTGTTGCGATAACCTTGGGTACTACGTTGAGGGGCTCACAGCCTGCCCAACCGAGAAGAGCTGAGCGAGCCAAAGCCTGTCAGCCTTCAAGCGTGCATCGAGCTTCTCACGGCAGCAGCGGAGCAAAAGAAAAATATGGCAGATCATGAACACATTCTCAAGTGTCTCGTCCCGGAACCATGCTCGATTGTCCTGAGGCCCGAGAACCAGCCCTGGAGGTCGAGACGACAGGAAAACGCCGCGACGGAACAGAACACATCGTCGGCCATCTTCGGGGCGCGAACAGAGCCCCCTTTCGCAGTACGCCCTTCAGTGAACGCTGCGGGGGGGACTCCGCGTGCGCACGGCGCCGCACTTCGAGTGCACCCCGGCCGGGTCAGCCAATCGACGCCCCAGAAGAAGCGAAGGCATCCAGCGCCGCGCACGTCGATTCGTGAGCGACGCCGACTGTGGACTGCACGGGCGTCAAGTCGGGCCTGTCCCCCTACAGGGGGATTTTCGACGAAAAATAAAAAAAATACCCCCAAAATAATACAAAAACAATCCACAAATAGTCTGGGGACTATTTTTTGAATATTTTTTGACCTTTGGGGGGCATTTTCGGGGGTATTCTTATTTTCCGTCGAAAACCCCCTGTAGGGGGACACGCACGACATAACACTGGCGCGCTCGAGTGCCCATGTCGAGCGAACCGGTGCAGATTTCCTCGGTCGACGTGTCTGGTTGGTCGGTTGCCTCATCTCCAGAACCCTTGATTTGCAACGCATCTGCGCACGCCAGCACGCATAGCACCGAATGTCCGCCCAACCAAAAGCAGGAGGCGGAGGAAAACGAGGGGGAGGAAAACGAGGTGGAAAACGAGGAGGAGGAGGAGGAGGAGGAGCAGGAGGAGGAAAACGAGGAGGAGGAGAAGGAAAATGAGGAGGAGCAGGAAAGAGGGAGGGAGGCAGGGAGGAGGACCAGCCCGACTCTGGCGAACCCCAGCGTGCTTCACGCCCCGATGGGCGCTCCGGCCGTCCCGCCCTCCTCCTCCTCCCGCGCCCTCCTCCTCCTCCTCCTCCTCCTCCTCCTCCTCCTCCTCCTCCTCCTCCTCCTCTCCTCCTCCTCCTCCTCCTCCTCTCCTCCTCCTCCCCCTCCTCCTCCTCCTCCCCCTCCTCCTCCTCCTCCTCCTCCTCCTCCTCCTCTTCCTCCTCCTCCTCCTCCTCGTCCTCCTCCTCCACCTCCTCCTCCTCCGTCGCGCCCTCCTCCTCCTCCTCCCCCTCCGTCCCGCCCTCCTCACTCCCCCTCCGGTCCCGCCCACCTGCGCCTGCGCGTGCAGCTCGCCTCCGTCGCGCCCGGGCGTGCCCAGAAATAGGTCTCGGCACGAACGAAATGGGCACGGAAAGAATGGGCACGATGCCCAACAGCAGTTCCTGTTCATTTTGAGCAGGACTCGCTGTCCGCGCCGCGGCGGCCTGTGCCCATTTGAGACAGAAGGCCGCCTGCCCAACAGCGGCCGCTGTTGGTTTGGGGCAACATTTGTTGCTGGGCATTGTACCCATGTTTTCCGTACCCATTTCGGGCGTCCAAAAGGTCGGGCCTGTCCCCCTACAGGGGAATTTTGGGCAAAAATTGCAAAGTACTCTAAAGATGCTCAAAAAAGATGCCCAGAAATATTCAACAGATAGTCCCCGGACTATGTTTTGACTATTTTTGAATGTGCCCCCTGTAAAGGGACAGGCCCGACTGAAGCCCAGAGAGCCGATGCTCCGACGTTGTTGCCTTCGGGGTCCCTGGGAGTCGGGGCGCTTCCCCCAGGGCCCTCTCTTCGCCTCGAGCCGTTCTCGACGGCCCTGGGGCCCGGCGAGGGCCACCGGGGGCCGAACACGACTGAAGAACACCTCCGCCTTGACTCTGTTCGATGCGCTGGATGTCCGCTGAGGTGACCGCCAGGGTTACTAGATCGAGGGATAGGGGGGCTCCGAAGCGGATGCCGATGTGGGTTGTACCTGGCCGGTACCAGCTTAGAAGTGGGTTTCGCGTGCAATGGGCGGCTCAACTGACGACGGTGTGGGCTAAGTGGGCTCCGCCCACTTAGCGAGGTGACCTAACCCCCTGACACCCTCAGTAGTTGCCACCCACTGATAAGCCAAAATAGGTCAGACACATCCGGCCTTAGCACCCACTTCGAATCGTTTCTGACCCCCTCTCCCCCAGCGGCCCCAGCGGTGATCCCAGTGTGTCAACCCAGACCCCCGACGTCATGATCCTTTTACAGCGTCCACCCCCAGAGGTATCGACCCATTCCCTGGAACCACTTTTTCCTCCCGAGTCGATTTCTGACGGCCCCGAAGCCCTGCGAGGGCACCTCGGAGCCCGAAAAGGGCGAAACATTTCCAGTCGAGATTTGTTCATGACTCGAGGGGCTCTCCTTATGTCGGGCGTGTCCCCCTACAGGGGGATTTTCGACGAAAAATTAAAAATAGCCCCAACATACTCCCAAAAAGGCAACAAATACCCCCAAAATAGTCCCCAGACTATTTTTGGACTATTTTTTTTGACTACTTTTGAAATATTTTTTATTTTTCGTCGAAAATCCCCCTGTATGGGGGACAGGCCCGACTTAAGGCTCTCCCAAAGCCCGAGAGCTGGGGATCCGGGGGGGGTTTGTCTCCGCTGCTTCTTGTTTGCGCTGCCTTCCAGCCGGCCGACAAAGAAGCCGTGGTCGTGGTCATCTCCCCGGTGCCAAGCTCAACGAAAATGACCACAACCGCTGCTCTGTTTCTGCGGGCTGGAAGGCGGCAACAAAAGAAAAGCAGCGGCTGTGGTCGTTTTCACGCCCCGTACCCCAGATTTCGTAATAAAAGGAGGGGGGTCTCATTTCGGGGGGGGTCTCTTCCAGACTATCTTGGAGGGCCTGGGGGGGTCTGGGGACGATGTTCTGGAGGGTTCTCCCACGGGGGGGGGTCTAAAACTTCTCGTCTGGGAGGGTTGAGACCCCCTCCCTTTTATTACGAAACCTGGAGTGCCCGTAGCCGCGGCGGGTCGAGGCGAGCGCGCGCCTGCCCGCGCCGACAACGCGGGGGCGTCCAGCGGATCGCCGAGGAGGCGGTCGTCGGGCCCCGCGCCGCCCGAGTCGCCGGCGCCTGCCGCGGGGGTGTGGGCCCCGTAGACCCGGACACGCTAGACCCGGACACCCAACATCCCTCGAAACCAATTCTTCCAAGCGGCGGCACGAACAACATGCTGCGCTGCAGCATTTCTCTAGAAGAAACCCGGGCACAGGTCCCAACAGCCTGCAAAAGACCCCCCTAAACCCGGACACACACCCGAATCCTGCAAAGCAGCAAGCAAAACATGCACGGGTGCTAAAAAACGGGACCTTGCAGGAAAGGATGTCGTGTCCTAGTCGCCGGGGGCCTGAGAACCAGCCCTCTAAAGGGGCCCGGGCGGAAGCATATCATTCTGCACAGGCCACAGTGTTGTGACATCTGTGCAGTGTTTCCTGGGTCTTCCTGGTTCCCGCCGTGTCCCGTACCTCGCAACGTTTCATGCAAACCGGCGTTCAGTGGCGTTTGTGTTTCTTTTCCCTTCTAGGCTTCGGGTGGATTGTTTTTGTTTCACCCTTCGGGGAGCAAGTAATTACATAAGCATAGAGTTTCGACCCTCCGCGCAGATTTCCGTTATGTTTATGGCACTCTCTGTTCCCCAGAACCCTGCTGTCTTTTCCTCCTTGATTTCGGCTTCCTGGGACCACTCTCGGGCCCCAGCGCCCTCACAAAAGAGACCCAGGACAAAACACTGCCCTCGGAGAAGTTGTCAAGACCTCCGGGGACCGCGGATTGAAGCAGTCAGCCCATCGGGTGTCTGGATGGAGGGTGGGGAAGGTCGTCGTCCCCAGACCCCCTCGTGTCGTGACAAACATCGCGACGGACATCTTTTTGCTGTTCTCGGCTTCTGGTGGGTGGCCCTCGCCGGGCCTCGGGACCGTCAGAAAACGACTCAAGATGAAAAACTGGTCCCGGGGAATGGGTCGAGACCTCCGGGGGCGGGCGCTGCGAATGTAATCCCGACGTTGGGGGTTTGGGTCTCCCGACCTGCGACGATCTGTCTAAGAAAAAAAAAAAATCGCGGCGTGCTCCCTTCATTTCGACCTCCCGGGGCCGCTTCCGGGCCCCGGGCCCCGCCAAAAGCAGATCCCGGTCGGAAAACTACCCCCGCGGCAAGGGGTCGGGGGAGCTCTGGGGCCGCGGGTGTAAGAGACCATACCGGGGGATCTCCGGAATCGCCGCCGTCCCTTCCGAAGGCCCAGGCGGCGCAAAAGAACAGTGACGGCCGATGTTTCGATTCTCCTTCGGCCTTTGGAGGCCGCTTCCTGGCCCTGGGGCCGCTACAACAAAGCGGCTCGGGACGAAAAGCCGGCCCTGGAGAAGCCGGAGAGCAAACCAGGCATCAGTGCTGCGGTTTTTGTCCGTGCGACCCATCAGCGTCTCGTTGTTCAGGAGGCGTGTAGATCTAAAAGCTGAGAGCGAGTGAGCAGCACGCACAGCTTGTGAAGGAAGGACGGCGCGCATGTCACTGCTACGCCTCATCCCTCCCACGGAGAGGGTCGATATCTCCAGGGAGGGCGTGCCACGGAAAAGGTGCGACGGTGGTTGAAGAGAGGGGCCCGCCGTCAAGAGAAGGCCTCAGGGGGCGAAGCTACCCCCGGGGAAGGGGCCGCTCACCGAAAGCATTTTTGGGGGGCACGAGCTAACTGAGAGCTTCATTTCGACTGAAAGCGCATGTCCCATTCTGGCACCAATAAATGCCAGTATATTTGGTGTGATCGCATGTTTGTCTTTTCCCTGCGCAGACTGTCTTCAAGGGTTCTTGATCTGTTTCGAACGCCCTGTCAGGGGGCCAGCCTGCCTCAGGCTCGCCCGAGTTGGACAGGGCGGGATCGCGGGCGGGCGGCGCGATCGAGGCTAAGGGGGAGGGTCGAGATCGAGGTCCGAGGTCCCAGGGTCGCAAGGAGGAGGCGGAGGAGGAGGACGATGATGGGGAAGACGACGTACGATGAGGAGCAGGGAGGAGGATCAGGACGGAGGGCGGAGGAGGACGGAAGAGAGAAGATAGCATTACAGGTGAAGGCAGGAGCGGTCAGGGACGAATCCGAGCCAGGCAGATCGAACGACCACGATAGACCTCAGGAGGAGAGGAGGGAGTATGAGGAGGGGGAGGATTAAGGAGGAGGAGGAAGAAGAGGATGGGGTGCCTCTACGTGGGCGGAGTGGAACGAGTGCGAGGAAGAGGACGTTGTCAAACTTTTCGGAAACTTCGGGGATCGACAGGAGCGTTGCAGACGGTACCAAAAGGTCTCTGGATGGGAGGGGAAAAAACAATTACGTATGATCCGTCATATGTCTTCGGGCTGTATGTCCGAATTGGCATCGCCGAGAAACGTATCACGAGAGCTGTTCCGCCTGGACGGAGGATGACGGTGACTTGTAAAACATGATCAACAACCTCATGCACAGCAGCCCGTGAAATGCAAGCATGCTGTACAAACCCAGTCTGCTTTGACCGCCTAGGCCTGAACTTCACCTCGTGCCCCGCCGCCTACGGACCAGAAGATGATGCTGCCCAGTCAAGGCACGAGCTCGGACGGGAGGGACTGACCTGTTGTATGCTTGAAGCGTTCTATCGCCACGCCTGGGGCATCGTTATCTTACTCACCGCCAGTATGCAAACACGAGCGGCACGAGAACTCAGACGTTCCCGCAGGCTGCGGCTATTGCTGATCGATGCTCTCGACACTCTGCTGCGCCGTGGCCCGCGAGGTCCACGCGTATGCGGCAGCCCCGTTCTGCCTCGAGCGCTCAAGTCTGAACCTCAGCTTGTGTCCAGCCGCCAACGGACCAGAAGATGATGATGCCCATTCAAGGCACGAGCCCAGACAAACACATATCATCATCATGCCGATACGACCACCCTTCTTGTGACAAGGAGGTTTGTGGGGGGGGAAGAAGAACCAACTTACGACAACTGCGATGGCGGTGATGATGACAATGCTGGTGATGCGCACTCGAGTTGACGACGACGCGTGGTGACTATGCTGCGTCGCGATGTGCTCACACTATCGATCCCACTCGATCGACCTAACCATCGATACACCACCATGGCACCATGAGCCCAATTAGAATGCTACCACTACTGTGCTGTGATGATTGGTGCTAAGTGTGATGGCTGGCTGCTGATGGCAAGGTGATGGCCGCAGTGGTGATGAGTGCGGCGGCGACAGAATCGGCGGTAGTGCTGAGTACGATCGGACCACCATCGGAACACGATCGGACCAAATAACAACCAACACCACTGCCCTGCGATGGCAATGTGATGATGTGGCGTTACAGTCGATCCCGTGGGCGGTGATGCTGACACTGAAAGCAGTTTGGCGTATCGGGTTCCCTGCGATCCCCCCCAAGTCTCCCTACGGACACCACCAGGACACCATCGAGACATCATCGAAACACCACCAGGACACCATCAGGACACCCATCGGAACACCAATCGGGAAACTATCGGAACACCACTGGGGCACCTATCAGGACACCACCGAGACACCATCGAAACACCAGCAGGACACCATCAGGACACCAATCGGGGCACCAATCGGGGCACCAATCAGATCTCACTACTGACCTCATTACCGATCTCATTATCGGTCTCGCTATCGATCTCGCCATCGTCGGTCTCACTCTGAATATCACTCGTGATTATACGATCGATCTCACTATCGATCTCACTATCGGTCTCACTATCGATTTCACCATGGGACACCACGGGTCACTGACGAGACTCCGACGGGACACCGAAGGGACACCGACGGGACACCCGCGGGACACCGACGGGACACCATCGACACATCATCGGGACACCAATCGATCTCACTTTCGATCTCCCTCTCGATCTCACTCGCTCGATCTTACTATCGCTCTCACTTTTGATCGCTACCACTACCGATCTCACCATTGGTTTTACTCTCGATCTCAATCGCTCGATCTCAATATTGATCTCACTATCGATTTCCACTGTCGATCTTACCCTCGATCCCACCACGGGACACCGCTGGGACACCGCTGGGACACCACGGCGGGACACCGGCGGGACACCGACGGGACACCGACGGGACACCGACGGGACATCGACGGGACACCGACGGGACAGCGACGGGACAACCATGGAACACCAACGGGACACCGACGGGACACCACGGCGGGACAACCCGGCCACCGCCCGCCCACCGCGGGGGAGAGGCGTACAGCGACAGGACACCACGGCAGAACAACCCGGCTACCGCCCGCCAACCGGGGAGGGAGGAGGGGCGGTCAACGGCTCTTGACCCGTCCTAGCGACACTGGAGTCATTCCTTTCGCCCGCCCGCGCAGCTCCGCCTCGCCCACACGTGCGACACGAACCCGAAACCGAAATCCGAGTGGGGGGCTCTCCGTCACACTTAGATTTCACCCCCCAACCTCCGACCTACTGGCGTTATGCAAGAATGCGCGGCACGAATGACCAAGATAATGATGATGATGACGACGACAAGGGCGACATGATGTTGTTGATGATGATTATGGTGATGATGACAATAACGATGGTGATGATTATGCTGATGCTAATGCTGATGACGGTGATGGTGATTATGATGATGCTGCTCATGATGATGATGATGATGATGATGATGATGATGATGATGATGATGATGATGATGATGATGATGATGATGATGATGATGATGATGATGATGATGACTGGTCGCGGACTGTTGACCTGACTCGCCGATGGAGCGCGCAAAGGCGCTAAAGGCCTACGCGCCGCAAGCGTCGCGTCGGCACACAACGGCACGGCTATCATGCAGATGCGCTCCAATGATGACGATGATAATGGTGACGGTGATTGTGATACTGATGACAATAATAATGCGACTGAAGGCACTGCTGATACTGATGATGACATGATGATGATGATTATGATGATGATGATGATGATGATGACGATGATGATGATGATGATGATGATGATGATGATGATGATGATGATGATGATGATGATGGTGCTGGTGATGGTGATGGTGATGGTGATGGTGATGATGATGATGATGATGATGATGATGATGATGATGATGATGATGATGATGATGATGATGATGGAAGTGGTGATGGTGATAACGATGACTACGTAGCACCCCGCAATTGCGGATAAGAGTGAGGGGGCAGCGGGTACGTCGGCAGTTTGCGAGGCTCTGAAGAAGCCCGCCGCAGGCGCAGAATTTTCAAGCTATGAAACGAGCCCGCCGCAGGCGTCGAGTTTTTTGTGTGAAAACAATGTGGGTGGGTCACGAGTTGGGTCGCAAGTGGGTCGACGGTGGGTCGCGGGTGGGTCGCGGGTGGGTCGCGCATGGGTCGCGGGTGGGTCGCGCGTGGGTCGCGGGGTGGGTCGCGGGGTGGGTCGCGGGTGGGTCGCGGGTGGGTCGCGGGTAGGTCGCGGGTGGGTCGCGGGGTGGGTCGCGGGTGGGTCGCGGGTGGGACGACGACAACAAACAACAACAACGACGACAACAACAACAACAGCAGCAACAACAACAACAACGCAACAAGCAGAATCATCACCACGGATTCTCACTTTAGCCTCGGACCCAGAGACAATGAATGACCATTCGGCCCCCTCACTCTGATGACGATGAAGATGATGGTGATGATGCTGATGATGAGGATGAGGATGATGAAGAGGATGAGGGTGATGATGCTGCTGATGATGATGACGATGATGACGACGACGATGAGGATGATAAGCAGGGGCAGGAGCAGGAGCAGGGGGTGAAGGAGGAGCAGGAAGAGGAGGAGGAGGCGGAGAAGAAGGAGGAGAAGAGGGAGGAGCGACGCGCCGCCGCTGGCGCCTCCGTACATGCTCCCGCAGCCGGCGGCGGCCCCTCTGGGGGTCTCCAAACATTCTGCTGCCCGGGCGCTCGCGAAGCAGGAGCACGACGAGCCTATCCCGCCCGCCCGCCTGCTGTGCATCCCCCGTGCCCCTCATCCTCCATGCTTCTGCGGGCGCTGGACCCTCCTCCCTGGCGCGCGGAGCGCGCAAGGTGCAGCGCCAGAGGCGCTGCCAGGGAGGGCCCAGCGCCGATCCAGGAAATCCGCGTGGAGCCGCGAAGGTTTGCGTGTGTGCAATCGTCTGCTGTTCGAGGGCGGCGCCCTCGTCGCCATGGTTTGGGCCCGCCCCGAAATCCTCCGCAGAGCGCTGCGAGACGTGGCCTGCTCGGGGCCTCTTGGGGGCGTATCGGCGCCTCCTGGGATCTCTTGGGGCCGAAAGCTCGGAATTCGAGAGTGGCTTTCTTTCTCTGGAACTCCTCTCGGGCGCGTCTTGGGGCTCTCTTGGGCCGTCTTGGGGACCCATTGGGCCGTCCTGGGCTTCTCGTGGCCATATCGTGTGTTGCAGCGAGGAGCGCCCCCCCCGGAACAAAGGTTTTTTTGTTTTGTTTTCGGCCACGGCGAGGCGCGGCCTCGCACGCGGGTCTTCCCCCCGACCGACCTCGCAGCACCTCCTCTGCAGGCCTGGGGCCGCGGGCCCAAAGTGATGATGGGCGTCTTCGCGTGTGGTGCCCCCCTCTGAGCATCGTTTCTCCGATCCCCATCCCCAGCGGCGTGGCCTGGGCCCCACTGGCCGATGTACCCCCCTAGATGGGGAGATGGGTCGTTCCCCTCGGGTTTCGAGGAGTGTATCCCCAACTGGAGTGGTAATTTGGTGGGGGTCTCGAAGGGGATGGGGATGGGGATGGGGATCGATTAAACGATACCGACCCTCGCTTCAGGACCACATCCCAGAAATCATCTCGAGCACCCAGAGAAAGATCGAGGCAGTGTCGAACGAATATCGCCCCCCCAGAGCCCGACGCGTGAAAACCCTCCAGCTCCTGTACTCTCTTGGTGCTCGAAGTGATTGCTGGTGGTCAAGGCTAGAGTCGGTTGGAACACCACGATGCTTGGGGCCAGGAGGCCCTGGCAGACCGATCTAGCTGCAGAGGCCTACGCCGAAGGCCGTGTCTCTTCGACTCCCGCGGAACGGCAATGCATCAGAGGTGCGGTCGAAGGCCGTAATCTGTTTGTCTACCCTCGCTTGCTGAATCCTCCTCCTCCTCCTCCTCCTCCTCCTCCCCCTCCTCCTCCTCCTCCTCCTCCTCCTCCTCCTCCTCCTCCTCCTCCTCCTCCCCCTCCTCCTCCTCCTCCTCCTCCTCCTCCTCCTCCTCCTCCTCCTGGACATACGGTCGAAGGCTCTGGCTGCGATCCTCTCGCGGCCTCCTGCTCCTGCTCTCCCGCTGCCGGGCACCCGAGGCAGGGGCCGGGGCAGAGGCTGTTGGGACCTCACCCCTTGCGGAGCCTCCCTTCCGGTCGGTGGATCGGGTGTTCGCTGCTCGTGCTCGCGCGAAGGACGAGCTCGTCGCTCGTGCTTCTGGATTTCCCCTTGTCTGCCCTCTGGGTGCTGACCCCCTCCCTCACCTCCGACAACTCCTTTCGGGGCAGGGCCAGTTGAGACATTGGTATCTCAAAACTGGTCCCCGGACTTGGAGGCGGCCAGGGGGTCTAAACTGGTTAAGACCCCAGAACATAGATCAAGAGAGGGGTATGAAGCCAAATCTGCTCAGAATCAATCCTCGGACCCATCTTGGGGTCCATAGATGTGTGTGACGGTCCCGGGGCCCGAGAACGGCCCCCAGAGGCCGAGAAGCCAAAACAAACCTTCCTGAACCCAGGGCTACCTCGGAACCCCCAGACGGCGCCAACGTTCAGCCGTGGCGACGAGGAGGCCCCTCGAAGGCCAACCGCCGCTGACTGAAACATGACATGTGAACGAGCCTGCCGACCCCCGACTGGCAGACGAAAGGCGCGCCGCTGTCATGCGCAGCGCAAGCGCGTACCAGAACGTACGGGTAAGCATCCTGAAATGATGTTTGGTCGTTGTACCGGGGGGGTGGCCCGCGTCTCCTCTCCTCCTCCTCTCCTCTCCTCTCCTCTCCTCCTCCTCTCCTCCTCCTCCTCCTCCTCCTCCTCCTCCTCCTCCTCCTCCTCCTCCTCCTCCTCCCACCATCATCATCGTCATCACCCATGTCGGCACACCCCTCACACGCTTCGGGGCCCCATAGGGAGCTCCACCGAAGGTCCCAGTCGGTGTGCCCGCATTCGTCCCGCACACCCATTTCGGCACCCCCCTCACACGTTTCGTGGCCCCATAGGGGGCTCCACCGAAGGTCCCAGTGGTTGTGCCCGCATGCGTCCCGCACACACACACACACACACACACACACACACACACACACACACACACACACACACACACACACACACACACACACACACACACACACACACACACACACACACACACACACACACACACACACACACACACACACACACACACACACACACACACACACACACACACCCACACACACACACACACCCACACCCACACCCACACCCACACCCACACCCACACGCACACGCACACCCACACCCACACCCACACCCACACCCACACCCACACCCACACCCAAACCCACACCCACACCCACACCCACACCCACACACACACACACACACACACACACACACACACACACACACACACACACACACACACACACACACACACACACACACACGCACACACGCACACCCGCACACACGCACACACGCACGCACGCACGCACGCACGCACGCACGCACGCACGCACGCACGCACGCACGCACGCACGCACGCACCACGCACGCACGCACGCACGCACGCACGCTCGCACGCACGCACGCACGCACGCACGCACGCACGCACGCACGCACGCACTCACGCGCGCACGCCAGCAC